TGTGCATGTACTACTCTACTAAATGAAGAATAAATGACACTTACCTTTATTGAAGATGCAGCAATGACTGATGAGACACTGTGTCCTGGGAGTGCCTTTTCCTCCTGAGTACTGTAGGTTCTGTTTGGCATTTTCTTCCAGAACAGGCCTTATCACACTGTGTATGCCACTACGATTCTTAAATCTCTCAAACCAACCTTTGCTGGCTTTAAATTCACCAATATGAGCACTAGTTCCAGGCGTTTTTCCCTGTTCACCTGGGTGTTAGTCGACTGGTGTGGGTTGCATCTTGCGAGACAAGATTAAGGACCCCAATGGAAATAAGTTAGACAGTCTTCGATGACACTGACTTTTTTGGGTTATCCTGGGTGGCTAACCCTCTGGGGTTAATTGTTTCTTGGTATTCTCAATAAGCCACACCAACAACGGTGCTACAGCAGCAGCAGCAGCTGACAGTGCTACAGCAGCAGCAGACGATGCTACAGCAGCAGCAGACGGTACTACAGCAGCAGCAGCAGACGGTACTACAGCAGCAGCAGCAGCAGCTGACGGTGGTACAGCAGCAGCAGCTGACGGTGCTACAGCAGCAGCAGCAGCTGACAGTGCTACAGCAGCAGCAGCAGCTGACAGTGCTACAGCAGCAGCAGCAGCTGACAGTGCAGCAGCAGCAGCAGCTGACAGTGCAACAGCAGCAGCAGACAATGCTACAGCAGCAGCAGACGTTACTACAACAGCAGCAGCAGCAGCAGCTGACGGTGGTACAGCAGCAGCAGCAGCTGACGGTGCTACAGCAGCAGCAGCAGCTGACAGTGCTACAGCAGCAGCAGCAGCTGACAGTGCTACAGCACCGGCTGACAGTGCTACAGCAGCAGCAGACGATGCTACAGCAGCAGCAGCAGCTGACGGTGGTACAACAGCAGCAGCAGCTGACGGTGCTACAGCAGCAGCAGCAGCAGCTGACAGTGCTACAGCAGCAGCAGCAGCTGACGGTGGTACAGCAGCAGCAGCAGATGACGGTGCTACAGCAGCAGCAGCAGCTGACAGTGCTACAGCAGCAGCAGCATCAGCAGTTGACCATGGTACCATAGTATTTCAATAATATTTCTCACCCTTTTTACCACAGGGTTGGCACTAGAAGCTTTCTTGGGGCCCATGGTCACTTATTTTGCAGATAAAATCACCAAAAACACTGTAATAATACGAAATGTTACGATTGTATGCTTGGATGTTACCGCGGAGGCTGGCTTGTAAACAATGCCACCGGCGGAACATGTGAGGCTGGCTCAGGCCGCACATTAGACGCGTCTCGGACGAGTAGTGTTGAGCGGGTTTTTTAGCGGTATGCGAGGCAAAATCTTAGCGATAAAATGTATCGGTATGCGGATTTAACGTTATGTGATGCCAACGGTATGCGGGGGTCCACTGTACCTCCAAACTGCCAATATCCTGAACCCCTCCTTTAGAGTGCAGGAATTGTACTTCCCATTTCCAGGACTCAAGTCCGGCTATATAAAAATAACCGGTTTCCCTGAATCCCTTCACTAAATATTACCCTGCTCACACTCCAACAGATCGTCAGGTCACAAATACCATTCATCTCCATTCACTCCTATCGAACACGCTCACGCACGCCTGCTGGAAGTCCAAGCCCCTCACCCACAAAACCTCCTTTACCCCTTCCTTCCAACCTTTTCGAGGATGACCCCTACCCCGCCTTCCTTCCCCTACAGATTTAAATGCTCTCCATGTCATTCTACTTTGATCCATTCTCTCTAAATGACCAAACCACCTCAACAACCCCTCTTCAGCCCTCTGATTAATACTTTTATTAACTCCACACCTTCTCCTAATTTCCACACTCCAAATTTTCTGCATAATATTTACACCACACATTGCCCTTAGACAGGACATCTCCACTGCCTCCAACAGCCTCCTTGCTGCTGCATTCACAACCCAAGCTTCGCACCCATATAAAAGTGTTGGTACTACTATACTTTCATACATTCCCTTCTTTGCCTCCATAGATAATGTTTTTTGTCTCCACATATACCTCAACGCACCACTCACCTTTTTTCCCGCATCAATTCTATGATTAAACTCATCCTTCATAAATCCATCCGCCGACACGTCAACTCCCAAGTATCTGAAAACATTCACTTCTTCCATACTACTCCTCCCCAATTTGACATCCAATTTTTCTTTATCTAAATCATTTGATACCCTCATCACCTTACTTCTAGGTAGTAGGTTGGTAGACAGCAACCGCCCAGGGAGGTACTACCGTCCTGCCAAGTGAGTGTAAAGCTGAAGCCTGTAATTGTTTTACACGATGGTAAGATTGCTGGTGTCTTTTTTTTATCTGTCTCATACACATGCAAGATTTCAGGTATGTCTTGCTACTTCTACTTACACTTAGGTCACACTACACATACATGTACAAGCATATATATACACACCCCTTTGGGTTTTCTTCTATTTTCTTTCTAGTTCTTGTTCTTGTTTATTTCCTCTTACCTCCATGGGGAAGTGGAACAGAATTCTTCCTCCGTAAGCCATGCGTGTTGTAAGAGGCGACTAAAATGCCGGGAGCAAGGAGCTAGTAACCCCTTCTCCTGTATATATTACTAAATGTAAGAGGAGAAACTTTCATTTTTCCTTTTGGGCCACCCCGCCTCGGTGGGATACGGCCGGTGTGTTGAAAGAAAGAAGAAAGATCACCTTACTCTTTTCTATGTTCACTTTCAACTTTCTACCTTTACACACATTCTCAAACTCATCCACTAACCTTTGCAATTTTTCTTTAGAATCTCCCATAAGCACAGTATCATCAGCAAAAAGCAACTGTAATTTTTTAGTTCAACAGTACTTTAAGTAGCCTAGTATTAATGACATATGTGGGTGAATGATAAGCATATAACCATTAGCTGCTTACTTTCCAATTCCAAGTGAATGTATGTGACAAATCTCTCTCAAAAGAATTTCAAGAAATTTTGTAAATACGTACAGTGGAACCTCGGTTGTCAAATTTAATTAGTTTCAGATGTCGATTCAACAGCCAAAATGGACAACAACCAAAGCAATTACCCATAAAGAATAATGTAAATAAATTAATCCATTCCAGACCCCAAATGACAATACAACAATTTATTAAAAATGTACTAAATACAACATATAACTGTAAAAATGAATACTAAAAGAAACTTTAACTGAAATACTCAACATTAAATGAAAATTTAACTGCCTCTTACCTGTCAGAGGAGAGCTAATGGCATACTGGAAGCAGGAGGTGGAAAGGAGGGAACATGTAACTGCTAGGAAGGACAGTTACCATCTATTAATATGTCAGGCAACTGTCATGGTGTTGTTTCTCCTCTTTTTTTCTTTTCACCACTAACACCTTGTTCTGGTTCACTGGTTCTTTTTCTCACTAAAAACCTGTCAAGTGATGGATTCAGGCTCCATCTTAACCCTTGTCTAAATTGAGACATTGCACTGTCATTGTACATGTTGGTGAGAGAGATGGCCACTGCTTTGGATGGGTAGTATTTTTCAGCAAACTCCTGCACTTCACACCATTTAGCACACATTTCTTTGACAAGTGCAATGGGCACATCATCCCTTCCCTCCTCTTCCTTGCATGACAGCTCCTCTGCTGCTCCTTCTGAAGGTCTACAAGTTCTTCAGTTCTATGCTCCTCCACCAACTCCTTCACATAATCTTCAGTCACCTCTAGGCACAAGGTCTTTCCCAGGGACACAATATATTCTACCAATTCAGGCTCATCTTCAAAGCTTTCAAAATCCCTGGCTGCTACAAAGTCAGGACACAATTTCTTCCATACTGGCTGTATGGTCCTGGAAGATACATTCCCCAGGCTTTGTCAATAAGCCTCAAGCAGGTGAGGATATTGAAATGGTCCTTCCAGAACTCCCTGAGGGTTAAATTTGTTTAAGTGATTTCAAAGCACCTTTCAAAAAGTGCTTTAGTGTAAAGTTTCTTGAAGTTAGAAATGACCTGCTGGTCCATGGCTGGATGAGAGGTAAACAACCAAGAGAACTCACAAAAACCAGGGCGTTTTTTTTTCTCAAATTCCTCACTTGAAAATCGATTTGTTCAACAAGTAATGCACCGAGGTTCCACTGTATATAGGTATGGATGATTCATATGAAATTTTGATTGCTATTAGAATTATTCTGGAATTACAACAAAGGCCAATGATGTTTAATAGGCTTATGAATAGGTAATTACCACAAGTATGGCTAATGAAGAATAGAAACTTCTTATGCTGACTGAGGAAGTGGAAAAGAATTCTTTTCCAGCAAGCCATGCATGTTGTAAAAGGCAGCTTAAATGCTGGGAGCAAGAAGCTAGTAACCCTTTCTCCTGTATGAATTACTAAATTTTAGAAGAACATTTTAAAGTTGGGATTTATGAATGTTCATGGATGTAGTACAGATAAGAGCAGACTGTGAATGTTATGAATGAAAAGGAGCTGGATGTCCTAGCTCAAAGCATAAGTATTATCCAGAGGGTCTAGGAGGGGGTTATTGAGGTGGTTTGGACATTTAGAAAGGATGGAGCAGAATAAGATGACTTGGAGGGTGTATAAATTTGCAGTGGAGGGAAGAAGGGGTAGGGGTCATCTTTGAAAAGGTTGGAGGGAAAAAGTAAAAAGGGGTTTTGAATGGGGGGATTTGGGAACCAAAGGGGGCATATTAAGCATATTAGAGGGAGGGGGTGGAACAAGTGATTTTTATGTTTTTAGTGTGTTTTTTGGACATGAACAAAGTAACTTTTAAAAAGGGTTTCAGAAAAAACCTTTAGCGGACTTGAGTCTGGTAGTGGGAAGAAAGTGCCTCACTCGGGAGGGGGGTTTTTGGGGATATGCACTTGGAGGGGCACTTGAACTAAGAATCAGCCAGTGTATTAAAAAACATTCCCAAATAAGTATTAGCTAAAAAAATTTTAAACAAAAACCCCAAAATCATCATCACACCTGATTTGTATTTATCATGATCTTCAGCGGGAAAAAGGGGAAGGATTTTAAGGACTGCTAAAAACTCCCTTTTTTCTTAGATGTGATATCCCAGAGACCATCTGTGGCTAGAATCAACACATCTCCATCAGTCAGGTCTGCTGATGCTACATCAAATATTCTCACCTGAAATATGTTAAGACTGCTGATTTAATGTAACAAAGTTTTTTTTTTTTCAGTCTTATTTGACAATGATTAGGGGCTTTTATGTTGTGAATTTGTTTTAAAAACATCGGCACGTCATAAAAAACTGCTAAAGCAAGTAATAAAATAAACTATTATTAAACTTAACATTTAATACAAGTCTCAATAGAAAGGCTCATTTGGTCTTATTTTTACAATAATTATGTGCTGGTATAAGTTGTGACCTTGTTATACTGCCTAATATGTAATACTGTACTACATATACCTCAGTCACTGGTGTGTCATGAGAAAATTGTTAGGGTAAGCTAATAACAAACATTCTAAACTTACCACTTAGAGCATAGTTAAATAGAATATTTCTTGACTTTCAAGCAAAATGATGAATAATTTTACTTTAAATTTCTGCACTGCTCTAAATATTTTGCAGTAATTCTTTTCAGTTGACAGAAGGGCAAAGCTTTGCAATCTTTTGTGGCCTTGAGAATTTCTGGAGAATGTTTTAGTGCACTGCAAAGCAGTGAAGCTGCTTTCTGCAGATGAAGTCATTCTGGAGCCATTAAAATTAATTTACAAAGACTAGCTAATTTACTATAAGTATTTTTCCAAGTCATTTAGCGATGAATTCTTCTGACATGGAAACAAGTCAAAGCTGTGATATCACTGACAAAAATGAAGGAAACTATTTTAGTTACATTTCAGTAAGTCGTCCCTGGGGAAGTGGAACAGAATTATTCCTCCATAAGTCGTGCGTTTCGTAAGAGGTGACCTAAAATGCCAGGAGCAAGGGGCTAGTAACCCCTTCTTCTGTATACACTACTAAAGTTAAAAGGAAAAAACTTTCATTTCTCTTTTCGGGCCACCCTGCTTCGGTGAGATACGGCCAGTTTGTTGAAAAAGCAACAACATTTCAGTGACTGAAAAGCAAGCTCTGGAAATTCTTTTCGAAGCCCGAAGAACGATGGAGTGTAAAATTATCATACTAAATCCATGTTGGCCAATTAGATATTAACCTGGTTAATATCATGTAATATATTTCTGCCATGTTGCTGGAAGCAATCTGTAGTGGTCATGGTGAGGGAGAGATCACCAGGAATATGCTCTGCTCTCACTGTACAAGGATTTCTTCTCAGTATTGACACATATTACTGAGGGAAAATTCCTGCATCAGAATGTTTTTCACAGGATATTAGATTGATCTGAATTCTATTTACATGGATTTTTCAATATTTGGGTTATTATAATTTAAATTTACAGTTTTTGTCGTATGTCTGGCAGTGGCCTATCATTATACTCTGCAAATTCAAAGTTACATATTACAGGGATATATTTTCAAGTCACCCTGCCTCGGTGGGAGACGGCCGACTTGTTGAAAAAAAAAAAAAAAATATTTTCAAGTGGCAATCTCTCCTCACAAGTTTCAGGTTTCCATTCACTGAAATATAAATAAAAAAATTACAGAATGCTATATAAAATTAAATATGTGAACTAAAGAAAAATATTTTTTAATTTTGAGGGCAAGATTTTTCATAAGGTAAACAATGTTTACCTTGTTTATGAATGTACACCACTGACCTGGGTGAATTACATAATGGGAGGGAAGTTGGGAAAGTGGGTAGTCTAAGAAAGATTTAAGAATGGAATTAATTCACCGAAAACAGAATAGAAAAAGAGGAAAATGGCACACACTAGTACAAAGGGAAAGGAAGATGCAAATGAAGAGAAGAAATGAAGGTTATCCCCCATCTCTTCCAATACTGCAGAAGCAAGGAAAGGATTTTAAAGTTCTAAATCTACCTGAATTTAAAAAGGTGTATGATAAACTTGGGATTAACAGTTCATGGACAAAAATGTTAGAAGGTCATGTCTGTTTTTCATTATTACCTTAAAAAACTTTCATCTTATCTAACATCAACTACAGACATATGAGGAATAACCAGTAATTTGGATGTTAGTAGATTACCTCAGGTTCAGGAGTCAGGAATGGTTTGATGGGTATTGAAGAGCACTGAGCCTTCAGATCATGATCCCCAAAGCCTCTAGTTACTCCAATAGTGGCTAACACTCGACTCTTGGAGGAAAGAACAGTTTTACAATTTCAGAATGCTATTATTGAAATTTATTTTGCACAAATACTTGTACATACACAAATGTTCAAAGACAATCTACAAAATAATTTGTAAAGTTAAGCAATAAAAGAACAGGAGGAAAAATGGGGAAAGGAACCACGTAAAAGATCATGAAACAATACTAAAAAAAAAAAAATAACAAAAAATTAGTCACCATCAACAGAGAATAAGAGATGATAGATGATAGACTGGGAGAGGCACTGTCAAGAAATTTTAATGAAAATAAGAAAAAATTTTGGAATGAGTTAACCCTTTGAGGGTCGACAGGCCCTCTCCGAAACTCGTTCTCAGGGTCGGCCAAATTTAAAAAAAAAAAAAATTATTTTCTCTTATGAAAAGATAGAGAATCTTTTCCCGATCATAAAGACACCAAAAGTTTGAAATTTGATAGAAAACTTACGGAATTATGCTCTCGCAAAGTTAGCGGTCTCGGCGATGTTTACGCATCGGCGATTTTGCCCACTTTGAGCCCCATTTTCGGCCAATTTCACTGTACTAGTCGACAAAAAACATGAATATTTCGCTAGAACTCCATTTTTTCTATCGAATGGGTGCAAGAAACCACCCATTTATGAAATTCAACTACCCAGTACAGTGGTCAGAATTTAGCAATTTTGCCAATTTCACACAAATTTCAAAAGATGCCAATTTCCGAATAGGGTCCAGAATAAACAAGGACATTCCTGGCACTAAAATGACATTTCCTCTAGTCATTAGTCACGTCTCAAGGCCCCTCTTATATTCTTTTGCTTTCCACTTTGAATTTTTATTCTCACAAAAAATATAAGATTTTCTGTTATGCAGACTACTGCATTAGTGTAAAAATGGTATAAATATTATTGGTGCACTTGTGAAAGAATATTAGACTCACCAGTTGACGTGTATGGCACGCTTGGCACGATTTGTTTACTTTTGAAGTTTGGTAAAAATCTAACATTTCTGCTACTTTGAGCTCAATTTCAAGGCACCTTTCATTGTAAAACCAGTCAAAATCATCTCAATTTCTGTAATATGTCTTCCATTCTATAAAATGAGACCAAGAAAACTAGAATACAACAATAAATACCATACGAAAATACACTGCAAAGTCGCTGATTTATTCCAAAAAAATGGTCAAAGTTTTTTTTTTCTCATTATGCACTGTGTGCTGCAGGATTTTTTTTAGACTGTGCACACTGACCACATAGACCCATTCTTTCATATGAAGGCCTACCAGCTTTCTCCCACTAGATTTGAGGCCGTTAGAATTTATGCGTACTAGTACGTCAAAAACCCCTACGCGTAAGACGTACTAGTACGACCAAAACCCTCAAAGGGTTAAACAAGTTAAGAAAGCCTAGGGAACAAATGGATTTGTCAGTTAAAAACAGAGTGGGGGAGTTAGTAGATGGGGAGAGTGAGGTTTTGGGTAGATGGCGAGAATATTTTGAGGAACTTTTAAATGTCGACGAAGAAAGGGAGGCGGTAATTTCATGCACTGGACAGGGAGGTATACCATCTTTTAGGAGTGAAGAAGAACAGGATGTGAGTGTGGGGGAGGTGCATGAGGCATTACATAGAATGAAAGGGGGTAAAGCAGCTGGAACTGACAGGATCATGACAGAAATGTTAAAAGCGGAGGGGTTATATAGTGTTGGAGTGGTTGGTATTTTTGTTTAATAAATGTATGAAAGAGGGGAAGGTACCTAGAGATTGGTGGAGAGCATGTATAGTCCCTTTATATAAAGGGAAGGGGGACAAAAGAGATTGTAAAAATTATAGAGGAATAAGTTTACTGAGTATACCAGAAGTGTACAGCAGGGTTATAACTGAAAGAATTAGAGGTAAGACAGAATGTAGGATTGCGGATGAGCAAGGAGGTTTTAGAGTAGGTAGGGGATGTGTAGATCAAGTGTTTACATTGAAGCATACATGCGAACAGTATTTAAATGAAGGTAGGAAGTTTTTATTGCATTTATGGATTTAGAAAAGACATATGATAGAGTGGATAGGAGAGCAATGTGGCAGATGTTGCAAGTACAGTGGACCCCCGGTATTCGATGGCATCGGTATTCGATAAATCCAGTATTCGATGCATTATATCGCAAAAAAAATTTCCTCAGTATTCGATTGAAAACCCGGTATTCGATACGATTCGTATGAGACCTGTCCACGTGTGGCCTGAACTGCCAAATGTGCGCCAGTGTTTACAAGCCAGCCAGTGTGTGCGCATCTAAGGATACATTCGGTACATTCCATATTATCACTGTGTTTGGTGCTTGTTTCTGCAAAATAAGTCACCATGGGCCCCAAGAAAGCTTCTAGTGCCAACCCTGTGGTAAAAAGGGAGAGAATTAGTATGGAAATTAAGAAAGAATTTGAAGAGTTTGGGGCTAACCCTGAGAAGCCTATGCCAGTTGTGGACTCCATTGTGCCTACTTCAAAAATTAAGGAAATGTGTGCACAGTGGGTTGAAGTGCAAACATTTATGGTTGAAAATCACCCTAACACAGCTATTGCAAGCCTTGCTGGTGACTATTACAATGACAATGTTGTGGCCCATTTTAGACAAATCGTAAAGGAACGGGAGGTACAGAGCTCTATGGACAGATTTGTTGTGCGACAGAGGTCCAGTGACTCAAGCTGGTCCTAGTGGCATTAAAAGAAGAAGGGAAGTAACCCTGGAAAAGGACTTGCTACCTCAAGTCCTAATGGAAGGGGATTCCCCTTCTAAACACTAACACCTCTCCCCTCTTCCCATCCCAGCAATCATCACCAGATCTTCATTAAGGTAAGTGTCAATTATTTTAATGTTATTGTAATTATTCTATTGCATTAAACTTAATATTTCATGTAGTAAAATTTTTTTTTTCATACTTTTGGGTGTCTTGCACGGATTAATTTGATTTCCATTATTTCTTATGAGGAAAATTGATTCGGTTCTCGATATTATCGGTATTTGATGAGCTCTCAGGAATGGATTAATATCGAATACCGGGGGTCCACTGTATATGGAATAAGTGGTAAGTTACTAAAAGCTGTAAAGAGTTTTTATTAGGATAGTGGGTGTGTAGAAGAGAGGGAGACTACTTCCTGGTAAAAGTAGGTCTTAGACAGGGATGTGTAATGTCACCATGGTTGTTTAATATATTTATAGATGGGGTTGTAAAAGAAGTAAATGCTAGGGTGTTCAGGAGAGGGGTGGGACTAAATTATGGGGAATCAAATACAAAATGGAAATTGACACAGTTGCTTTTTGCTGATGATTCTGTGCTTATGGGAGATTCTAAAGAAAAACTGCAAAGGTTAGTGGACGAGTTTGGGAGTGTGTGTAAAGGTAGAAAGTTGAAAGTGAACATAGAAAAGAGTAAGGTGATGAGGGTATCAAATGATTTAGATAAAGAAAAATTGGATATCAAATTGGGGAGGAGGAGTATGGAAGAAGTGAATGTTTTCAGATACTTGGGAGTTGACGTGTCGGCGGATGGATTTATGAAGGATGAGGTTAATCATAGAATTGATGAGGAAAAAAAGGTGAGTGGTGCGTTGAGGTATAAGTGGAGACATAAAACATTATCTACGGAGGCAAAGAAGGGAATGTATGAAAGTATAGTAGTACCAACACTCTTATATGGGTGTGAAGCTTGGGTTGTGAATGCAGCAGCGAGGAGGCGGTTGGAGGTAGTGGAGATGTCCTGTCTAAGGGCAATGTGTGGTGTAAATATTATGCAGAAAATTTGGAGTGTGGAAATTAGGAGAAGGTGTGGAGTTAATAAAAGTATTAGTCAGAGGGCTGAAGAGGGGTTCTAGAGCTGGTTTGGTCATTTAGAGAGAATGGATCAAAGTAGAATGACATGGAGAGCATTTAAATCTGTAAGGGAAGGAAGGCGGGGTAGGGGTCGTCCTCGAAAAGGTTGGAAGGAAGGGGTAAGGGAGGTTTTGTGGGCCAGGGGCTTGGACTTCCAGCAGGCGTGCGTGAGTGTGTTCGATAGAAGTGAATGGAGACGAATAGTATTTGGGACCTGACGATCTGTTGGAGTGTGAGCAGGGTAATATTTAGTGAAGGGATTCAGGGAAAGCGGTTATTTTTATATAGCCGGACTTGAGTCCTGGAAATGGGAAGTACAATGCCTGCACTCTAAAGGAGGGGTTCGGGATATTTACGGTTTGGAGGGATATGTTGTGTATCTTTATAGGTATGTGCTTCTGAAGCTGTTGTGTTCTGAGCACCTCTGCAAAAGCAGTGATTATGTGTGAGTGAGGTGAAAGTGTTGAATGATGATGAAATTATCTTCTTTTTTGGGATTTTCTTTCTTTTTTTGGTCACCCTGCCTCGGTGGGAGATGGCCGACTTGTTAAAAAAAAAAAAAAATAGATCTGTAATATAATGTAACTCCTGTTATGATAGTTGGTTATGGCCTGATTAACAGAACCCAATTATAATAGATAATACAGTACAAAAAATAGGAAACCTGCTCAAGGAGTGTGGAGAGAACACCTATGAGTGTTTATTTACAATTTAACCCTTTGACAGTCTGTCCTATAGCTCTACAGCTTTGAAGCCAGAGTCCAAGCCGTAGTTCTATGCCATGAGTTCAGCTCACTCAGATAAGCTGTGAGTGGTAAATCTGGGCCTAGATATGAGAGAATACATCTGTGTGGTAAGTGTGCACCACATAAAACAAATCCTGCAGCCCGAAGTGCATAATGAGAAAAAAAATGTGACCACATCTTTGGATTAATAGAGCAACTTTGCAGTGCTTTTTTGCATGTTTATTACAGTTGTATTCATTGTTTCTTGGTCTAATTTGATAGAATGGAAGATTTTTTTTTTTTTAAAAGTCGGCCATCTCCCACCGAGGTAGGGTGACCCAAAAAGAAAGAAAATCCCCAAAAAGAAAATACTTCCATCATCATTCAACACTTTCACCTCACTCACACATAATCACTGTTTTTGCAGAAG